TCTTAACCAATACTTCCGCTGTACCCTAGGTGGCAAAGCGCCACGAGGGAAGCTTGTTCTGAAGAGCCCCGAGCTGCGAGAAGGACAAAAGGGAGGACACGTCAGGTCTGAGTTTTTCCTTTGAACTTTGGCAACCTGCTGGCAGTAGACAATCGCTTGTGAATCACATTGTCTCCTAAAAGGTCTGCAAAGGCAAGCCATACTCGTACAAGTCAGACATCTGGTGCTTGGCTCAGAATGGACTCAGCCGAAGAATTGTGCCCTAGCCATCCCTAGCCCATCTCTGCAAGGTCCTTGGGATGTGTGCTCTTCGAGATGATGGCGCTTCGCCCACCCTTCGGAACAGCTCCGAATTTGGAGGCCTTTGCATTTTGACGTGCTTCTTACAAAGCCAGCGGAAGCCTGCGACTGTAACATACTGTCCCTGGCCAGGCCTTGGTGAATCGAATCGTCCGTGCAGATGTGACCCTTCCGGAGCACCTGAGCAACGATTTCCCAGAAGCATCGCGCTGCACACGCGCCATGCTGCGCCAGCAGCCCGACAGAAGACCAACTGCACACTCCTTGTTGAATCGTCCGCGGCTTCAGCCGCCAACATACGAATTGCCAGGGATGACAATCGTAGAGTCTACGTCGACGCCATCAACATCGCCACCGACTTCAGCTCAGTCTCCGGCACAAAAGGCATTCGATCCGCCAGGGCGCACCGACATCAACTCGCAGGCAGCCAAGCAGAAGCTTGTGGCGGCACAAGTAGCAGCTGCTGCCGCCAACGCTGCGGTAAAGGCGGCAGCCCTGTCACCCCGAACGAGGGGGCGGGCGAAACTTGCGAACCAAATCCTGGAGTCGGAGTCGGACCAGACTGCCATCAAAGTCCTGGAAGAGTGCACGGATGACAGAGACAGGTACCCTCGCCCGCCGGGACAGAAGGGCATCATCACTGACGTTCCATCACGTGTTCGCCGCCAGGGCTCTGGAAACTCCAGTCCGACACATCCGACCTATCCCGCTTCGCCAAGCGTGGCTGTGAGTGTGCTCGGCCAGGGCCGCCAGGGCCAGGGCCCGGGCCAGGGCCAGGGCGGCCAGGGCCGATCCGCCAACCCGGATGGCTGCAACGTCCGTTCATGCTCTGGAGAAGTCCAACGACCACGCCCACACCAGCCCGTCGGACAGGCGCAGCCCCTGTCTGCAAGACAGAAGGCCGGAATCTGCCTTCATCTGCCCTCCTGCTCTCCTCATGCGCCTTCTGACTGACTCTGGGAAGGCATACCACCCGTTCTCACGGCCCCAGCCTCTTCAAAGGCCGGGCCGGCGCAAGACTGGGAGCAACTCGAGGTTGTACGGTTTTAGTTTGAAGTTTAAATTAAGGATAGAAGAAGCAGTTGCAAGAGAGAGAGGGCTTTTGACGGCACGAGAATTGAGACGGCGAATGTTGCAATGCACATGCAATAATGCCCGACCTTTTTTTCTGCTGTGTTTTGCCTGATCGCCCCAAACTCGCACGGAAGCCAAGCAGCGACGGCGCATGGAACGGCGCTTCGCGATTCCAGGCCGTCATAGAGGGCTAGAAGATGGCTCATGTGGCCACACAAGTTGAGTTTGAAAGGATGTGGCTCATGACAACTGTGGGCTCAGTGTGGCATTGCTAAAGAGCTGAGCCGCTTTGCCTATTAGCTCGCCGATGGGATGAGATGCCTACTGGACACGTGACACGTGTTTCGGCTGCAATCGAACACAGTGCCGACCAGGAAGATCAGCGAAGGCTGTGACAATGGTCACACTGCTTGTGCAGAATCAAGTTGCACTTGCCTGGAACGTCTTGGAGCACTGCTCCGTTCGCATGAGAAGAAATTCTTGCCATGGTGCGTGGTGTCCGATGTCTGCATGGACTACCCGCCACAAAGTTGTCAGACGATGTCAAGCATATTGAAGCATGTCGGGCCCGAAGATGGAGTGCGAAGGATGCCAGCATGATAGTCCCAGCCGTTGCAAGACAAGGTCGTGCATGTCGTATTGCCTGAGATGAATGCACAATGTGTTGACCAAGTGGGGTAAACCCGTCCGTGGGTCATGCACAACAACCACGTATGACGGCTGAGGCGATCTCATGTCTCTTGCTGCTTGCAACATGTTTGGCAAATGCAACATGGAATGCCGATCAGCTT